TTTTGTCGAATAAGGTACATATTGTTCAACGCCACATTCAGTTTCTTTATCTTTGCTATTTTTTTTTTACTTGTCTTGATTTGTACGGTTGAATTAAATAAAAATCCACGGGAAAAGGCCATCAGAGGTTTGTCGTAGGCTTCAGACACAGATAGTTTTGCCCTGAAAAAGAATACTCAGACAGGAGAGCATTTTCCAGAAAACATTGAGCCTGCTTAATAAGGATCCTGATCTGTTTCCAGGGAGTGATCAAGCCATTTAAATATGTCGTCAGAGCGAACATTGGCAATGCTCACGCAATGGGCCAAAAACCAATCACCTTTATACGACAGGTTTGCAGACATTTAGCTTCTTTCATGTGTTTCGTCAGGTTTTTTTTAATGCTTTACGAATGATTTCTGAGGTGAGGAAAATTTAGAGGAAGTCAACACTCCTTCCGTACTGGCCCTCTACGAGAGGCAGGGGCTTGACGCAATCGGAAATAGCACTGTTGTCTTGCACTGCGTCCAAAATTTGATTCCACCAGTGAAACAGTCAATTCCTCTACGATTTATTTATTTGTTCCGATGGTAAATTAGTACATAGCAAGTATCGAAAAGTGATCCGCGCGATCAGTTTGTTTCTAATCAATTCTTAAAAGAAAGGGCCATGGATAGCTTCACCAAAGGACGATTGCTGCTAGTACTCGCTAGCACTCTGGCGACTTTCCGAGTGCCTCCGCCTTTCGTAGAAAACGATGCGAAGGGGTTTTGATTTTTGATAAATTGGAAATAACTTTTCGGCTTTTCCGTATTTTCCTTTTTCAATCATTTTCACTCCCCTACTTTCTGCTTTCACTCCAGTTTATACAGTTCATAAATACAGCCATGTGCTTTATCTTTGGTAGCTCTCCTGCTGGAGTGATTTTACCACGCTCGTGACAGCCAGCAATAATATGTTTGCTAGCGCTGAATTATTTAATAAGTAAGAGTTGAAATGCGACATAGATCGGACATTTTGGCAGGAAAGGGCCATGCCGCAGTGCGCTGTTGAGTGAGAATTCGTTTGCAGATGGCTAGACTGTTTCGAATTTTGATGTTATTTTTACAGGTTTTGGCCTGTACAACCAATCCATCGCTGATAACTGCAAGCAAATTTCCGCCGGATGTTACCGAACGTGCTGAACTGCTATTGAGTGCGTGCGGCGGAGAAAGCGCTGGATCATACAGGTGCGTTCAGAAAAGGATTAGATTTAAAACAGCTTTAACCAGCTGATAATCCCGATAATACTCCTTATGCTTTTTTAAAGGTTAATAATAGCCGATAATATTTGCAGGATTTTACAACATGTGATTTAAATAAAGTACTCAGATCAGCTTTTTCCAAAATATATGCAATTAGTTGCGAGCGGCATACAGCAAATTCTATGGCACTTGCACATTTTTTGCTTAGGCAAACTATTGCCAAGTGATCAATCTGCGTGGATTTTGAAAGGCTGTAACAGATAAACTGCGTAAGTTGTGAAGTGAGGTTTAAAAGCTGTAGCAGGCATTGCATTATTTTCTCTTCACCTCGATTTCAAGGGAAAGGGATGTCTGACAAACACAATGTTTTGTATGTACGTAAGTGTGTGTATGTGTGCGTGTATGCGTGCGTGCATGCGTGTTTGTGTAGTATCATTATCGCTTGCTGATAACTGATTTTATTTCTGCCTAAGCTGTAATGCATGTATATGTGGCATCATCATCACTGAATGATAAGTAGACTTCATTAGTTCTTGCCCAGCATCACTTCATTAGAATTGCTGGAGCTCCCGGCCTGCTAGCGCTTAGTATCCAGCGAACGCAGGTATGCTATGTCATCGGGCTACCTGCTTTCAGTCACATGCACCTTGTCCTAGTCCAAGTGACGTCTTTTTCAGGCTTATGCTTTTATGCACAATAAAGTTTTACTGCTTGTTCGCTGATGCTCGCAAAAAAAAAAAAATAGAGCGCTCCGTTCTCAGATTTTTCTTCTGGAACTGCTCAGTACTTAGCAAATTCATCTAACCCGATGATTCAGGAATTAAACGCCTAATCAGCACGCTCTTACTTATAATTGGCATATGATTATTACAGTATATGGGTCAACTTTCTTATTCTTCTCTCCTCACTCTGTTTGCTCTCTCTCTCTCTAATTTCTCTCTCATTCACATTTTTGTCCTGCAAATTAGCCACATGACTGTTCAGAACATGCCGAGTAGGAGGCTGTACTGATGATTCCCGCACCTACCCACACACATTGCTCGATCTGTGTTTACAGCTAAGAGATGAAACGCAAGCTTAGCACATTGTAAAATGTCCTTCGGCACATGACACTTAAGATCAATCCTTCCATTCTACTATTTCATTTGCATCCAGCAAAGTGGGCATTTCTTTTAAAATATTTAATTCTTCGTACTAATAAATTCTTCAGCATGAAATACACTGTTTTATGGAATCTGTGTGCTTATATCCGTGCAAGAAATTGTTGATTTTTCCTAGTGTTTCTCGCAAGCTAGCAACTGGACCACATCCTAAATCTTCCCAGCGCACATAACTTACCTTTTTCCTTGGAAACATTTGCTGTAATAACTGTCAATGACTTTAGCGAGAGCAGTGGCATCGAATTAGTCCGGAAAGACGTCGCAGGATATATTACGCGCCGAGATGGCGGTATCCCATCCAATCCCGAGAATATCATTCTTTCCGCCGGTGCTTCCGAGGCTATACGAGTATGGATTCCATACATACACTCCAAAACTCAAAACTATTTTGAATTTCTTTTCCATGAAGATCAGACATCAATTTACATTTTAGTACAATCAAAAGATATCGTGACTTGGACGCATCCAAGTTTGTGAAAGCTAGCCAACTCGCTGACGTTTATGCAACTAGACCAAACAGACAAGGAAGTTGGAGAACGGGGCAGAGCATAAAATACTTTTTTTTAAACTAATTCTAATCAGTAAAACAGCTCAATCTGTCGATGTAGAAAACTGTCGCACATTTACCCTATCGCCAGTTCTTGTGCTACCTACTTTCGTTTGATGCTTAACGAGCTGCCTATGGTCATTCGACATCTCCCTGCTACGTAAGTTTTGACGCGCAAGTTCTCCGGCGCAGGCAAAGCAAAGAAAATATCGTGCTCAGATGCTTTTAAAAGTGAAACCAGTTGGTCGGTAAATGAATGTTCTTTGCATCGAACCAGTTTTTTTACAGAATGTCTTGAAACTTTTTATCAGCAGAGAAGGAGGAAAAAAGGCGGGTATAATGATCCCGATTCCACAGTATCCGCTCTACTCGGCTTCTATTGTGGAATTCGGCCTCGGCTTGGTGAGTACTAAATTTATGTTGCAATGCAATTTTTTTCAAAAGTTGCGCAATTCATTCTACGCTTATTTCCATTTGGCATAACAAATCCATAGCAGTAACGAAGAAATAGTAATTTGTATTTTTAAGCTTATAGAGAATCTAGCAGCTTCCAGTTAAATAAGGCATAGTTAAATAACTCGTGATGCAGAAGCAAACTGTGTGTGCGCCATAAAATATGCAGCCAGATAGGCGTTTGAAGTGCATACTAATTCGATTAATCCATCTTTATCAGTAGTGTGAATGATAAGTCTTAAAAGAGCATTAAATTAATGCATCCTGGAGCTATTGCGATGAAATGCTCAAAATCGTGGAAAGAAAAGACTGATCTTATGCTCAGGTACCCTATTATCTTGATGAAAAAAACAACTGGTCTCTGGACATTGACGAACTGGAACGGGCATATAAAGAATCGCTGCAAAAATTCAACACTCGGGTGCTCTGTGTTATCAATCCCGGCAATCCGACCGGTCAATAATTTGTCGTTTATACTAAAATTGAAAATAGAGGTGGCAATGATGCTAGAATTTGGAGGGTTTTTGAATTTCGTGAAAAATTTTTGAATTTTTAGAAACTCGTGTAACGCAGTTTGTTCAGTTGATTTCGACATTTTAGAAAGCGTTGACACTGAAGAAGAAACTTTTGCAACTTCTTCCAAAACATGAACTTTGACAGCGTTTGAGGTAAAAATCTTTCCACCCAGTGACAGATGAAAGATGTTGTTTTACTTAACTCATAGAAAGGTTTGACGGAAATCACCAAAAGCCGTTTGGAAGAATTTCTAGGGAATACAAAAAAATTATTACGCATTGAAACAAATACTCTTTTTTTCTGAAAAGTCGATTTTTAGGGCAAGTTCTCTCACGGAATAATATTGAAAAAATTATCAAATTCGCATACAAGCACAAACTATTTCTAATGGCTGACGAAGTAAGTCATTGCTTTACTAATTACAGCAATTTCAGGCAATTTTCATATAATTTGTCAAAATTCATAGTAAAGGACGAACACGTTTTTTGTTGCTCAGGCATGTACAAACAAATGAAATAGGAGTGAGCAACAGCACCAAACTTAGTTTTGATGTTGTTGCTCAGTCCTATTTCAGCTTAAACGTCAACGATAATTTCCCTTCTTTTCGTGATTTTGAAGAGTCGTGTTACAGGCCACACTTGTTTTTTACTGTTCACGCACGCTTGTCAGTGGACAATTTTAAATCATACTTAAAAAGTAGTCTTACACTGGAGGATTTTGCACTTTAGATGTTTCCGCGATAGTTCTTAACTACAAGAAATGTTTAAGCACGGTGGCAATTGCATGCCTTATTTTATTGGCTGGTACGCCTTTGCACGTGGTATTTTACCTGTTATATAAGCATCAAATGACTTTTAAGTACGAATAAGAAAACCAAAAATGCAAAAAGGAAATGCTGGAACTGAAAATCATCAAGTTGCAAAGCGTGTCCAATTTAGTCGCCAATTTAACGAAGAGTGGTGGGACAGATGTGATACTAAGTAACGTTGAATAACCAATAATATTTATTGCCTAGCACTTGCATGCCTTAAGCAACAAAAATGTAAAATCCGATATACTATAAAGTAACAAGGAATGTATACAGCAATGAATAACGGTCAGACACGATATCGAGTAAAGAAAGAAACCCATCGCGCTTGTCACCGAGTAGCACTAATATCTGACTAGGCGAGCTGAATATTGAGTAATATTCAATCAAATATTATTAGAATTACTTCGGTACTGTCTGGAGAAGGGAAATGACGAAGAGATACAAAATATGGTAACGGATGACATGTGATATTTTAAAAAAAAGGCGAAAATCTGAACATTGACAATCTTATAACCACGAAATCAGTTCGTCTTTAATGACAGACTTGTTTCGCTCTCGATCCGTTAAGCATGAGATACAACACGTGTAGTTTTTCTCGAATGGACGAAACAAAAAGCAGGAGCCTCTAGCGATGCAGCATTGATCGCAAAACCTATGAATAAGCTAGCAAACGTACTGATGACGTAAAGGTGCGCTACGATGAAACGACAGCTGATTTGTGTGAAAATTAAAGCCTCGAATGAATGAACTGCGTTCGGGAGATTTTACAAAGACAAATCATTATGAGTTCTCCGTTTGCAGGTCTATCAGGACAATATTTACGAAGAAGGTGCCAAATTTCACAGCTT